GTGATTCAAGGACATCTACTGCGTGTTACAGTAAAACTATTCCGTCAGGTTTTCAATGGCTAATTGTTCAGAAGAAAATTGCCAGGCCTTTCCTCTGCAGTGTTGCTGGATGAACTGCAAATTTCCAGACTTTGCTCAGTAGCCAAACATGTTAATAAGCATTTGTACCACCCAGGCATGCCTATCCCACAGAGAGAGAACAAATATCTATTGAGCACCTTCTCCATCAGGTCCTTGATCTCAGTGCTGATGAACCAGTACTGAGCAAGTAGATAGAGTCCTTCCGTCATAAAGCTTCCAGTTTTGTTGAGAAAGATGATGAAACAACTAAACAACACTAGATACCAATAAGCTTCGTGAGGACCACGAATGAGAAGAGAGGGAGCGGGAAGTCTCCAGAAGGAAGTGATGTTCATGAAGATAACAATGAGGGGAGGATGCTGAGCTGATCTTGTGTCCAGTCCCGGGACCTCGAGACCACTGCGTCCCACTGCCTCTGACAAGCAGGTTATTTGTAACTTCAGTGTATTTCCAAGGGAAGCTATTCGATATCTTGTCTATTAAGAAAGGCCCCCAAGTTTGAAAGGCTTAGGCCCCACAAATATGGACTGCGCTCTGGGGCTCCCTCAGAGCACTGTTTCTCTCCCCTTTGACAGTGGGCATCAGTGACTTGCCACAAATGACTCCTGGTGAGCACCCACCACCAGGAAACAGGGTTTCCTCAAGAGGAAGCATGAGGAAGTTCTTCCTCAAGGAAGAACTGAGAGCTTCATACCCAGCAAGTTTCCCATGAGGGCAGACAGTGGGGGGGGGATCAGCCGCTAATATCACAGAACAAAGCAGATAGCAATAATAGGAAAGGCAGAGAGAATAGAACAGGGGCATTATCTGGGCGAGATGGAACTGGGTAATGAGGACCTGAAGCTGGAGCAGAATATATTCTGCGCCACCTTAATACAAGCTGATTCTGGGTTGCTCTGGAAGCAAGCCCAGCCCTGGGGTGGGAAGGTCTGGAGGGCTAATGCGGCTAGTGCCCTGACCACCTTTCAGGAAGGGGCCTGGGAGCAAAGCAGGGAAGAGGGGGCGAAAGCGTGATTATATGGGCTTGACTCCACACTCCAGCTTGCAAGGTATTGATGCATTCACCCTCCCAACTTCTCTCAGATTTTGTCCCCCTCCACATGGGCACACAAATGGGAAGCCTCTACCTTTTCCTGGCCTTGTGCAGTTGCATAAGGGCATGTCAGTATTGCTTCCTGGGCAGAGATCTCCCCTTCCTTAAAGGGAGATTGAACTCCCGTGGAAAGGCTCCCAGAGGAACAGAGAAGGAAGGATTTTGCAGCTGGACTCCTCCCTATTGTGGGGTCTGGGTTTTTCCTTGAGCCTTGATGTGTTCCCTTGGAGCAAGTAGGTAACAACACTTATTTCTAACACTGTTTTCAGGACAAAGAAATGGACATGATGCATCTGAATAAATACACGCTGACCTCGTGTTTAAGCTCAATCAAAATCTGCTCCCTTGTAGCTTATTGTCATTTGAGTAGTTCCCTGTTCTTGGGTCTGCCCCACACATGCTCTGAAGCATCCCTTAGGAGCCGAGCCATTACCATCCAGTGCAAAGGAATCTACTATCTCATCACTCCTGCCATACCTGATTCCAGGATACAATAAAACGGAGGTCCACAAATTCTTGAAAAAATTCCTTATGAAACTGGTTGATAACACCTCCAGCAAGAATAACAAGATGATTGGAAGCTGCGTAGTAGGCAAGGCTCAGTCCAACCACAGAGAACTGAAACATGGAACAGACAGGGCCCATTCAGAGATCCGCCAAAGGAAAGATCTGACCTTGGCACTCTGTGATGTGAGTTGTGAATTAACTCTAAAATTACTGAACAGATACTTTATCTTAAGTGCTATTTTGGAATTACACAACAAAGGAAGAAAGGTACAAGAATATTGGCATTAGCTAGTACACAACCAACTTTCCATGATTTATTTTCAGATAAACAGCAATAACGTGGTTAATATTATTTTTATAATTATATAATTATAAAATATATCTATATAATTGTACATTTATCTATATAATTAATATAGAAAAAGGGATACCTCCAGCCAATTGCTTATTTTTTTCCAGTAGCGGAAGATGCCTTTCTCAATCATACTGAAGAGTTGAAAGCAGAGGTGAACCATGTTGAGCATCAGAAAGAGCAGCTGATGAAGAGAAAATAAATAAGAATAATGACAATTTTGAGTCAGTGTTAAAATTAAATTAATTTTCTGCTCTGCAGAGTTTGGATAACAAATTTGTTTTTCAGTTAGCTTTGGGGCAATGGGACACCTCTTCATACATAAGCACTCACAGAACCAAATGTGGCAGCAGGTGCAAAGTGTATATAAAATCCTGGTAAACAATGCAGATTAAAACCATGGGCTATGAATATACAACTTACAGCTGCCTGACCTCCACACTTGCCCCTTCTAGTCCTTCTGCATTTCTCAAAAGAATAAGTTTCTCTGTAGTATCAGTAGTAGGGTAAATTCCCCCTAGTGGAATGCCTTTGCGTTGCACAGTATAACTCCTTCACAGGGCTGGCTGGTGCTTTCATCTTTATGGAAGCTAATCGCCATACCTTTCTTTTGTGAACCCTTTGGGTGAGTGTGAACCAAACACCCTTACATAGTTGAATGAGAACTATTTGCACCACTTAGGAGACTTCTGTGTATTGCTAGATGCTGTCGAGATTGTCTACAACTTATGGTATCCTCATTCGTAATGGAAGCATCATGCTGCCCATACCTGAATTGTTCCCATGATTGGTCGCAGATTGGACAATTGTGATCTGTTTAGATTTCCATTGGCTGTTTTTTGTTGTTGTTGTTTTTTAGGTAGATCACCAGGGCTTTCTTCCTAGATTAGTGCCCCTTAGTTTGGGAAGTTCCACCCAAACAAGTTCAGCATCATAACAACACACAACCCTCCACTGACCAATACATGGCATTTTCTCCTAAGGTGTATTGTTCAGGAATTGAAACCAGGTCCATGAAAAAGATAAAGATCCTCAACAAGACAGATTGGCCCAGTCATTGCACCAGTGGGCTAAAACATAGCAACAAGATGACTGCGGTCCCAAGACGATTGAAGTGGCAGACCTTGGCCTTTGGTTCAAGTCTCTTGCCTTGAGGGTGCCTAATGAACGGTATCCTGGAACTATCATATACTTACTAATTTAATGCCCTCTTGTTTCATTATAGCATGTATTAATCTGGTAGGCATGGTTTGCTGCGGTGAGTGTATATTATTGAAAGCTTAGCCCTATCACCAACACCCATTGTTTGTGTCAATTATATCCAGTCACTAAGAGTTTAATCTGCACAACTCATATATTGTAGTTTACAGCTGGCCTATACTTTTCTAATTTCATGTTCTCAACAGTGTTTTAAATTCTATACCATTGGCTAAAATAGTGACACCATTAACGCATAGTGGGTACTCATTTGGCTGCTCACCTCAAGGTCAGCATTTCCCAACCCCCCAGCCATCTCTGATGGGGAAGGGTGAGGCTTTCTAGTCCTGGGAAGGTTGCAAGCTCAGAAACTCACAGGGACAGTTCTACCTGCTCTATAGAGTCTCTATGAATCAGCATTGACTTAATGACAGTGGAAGTGATGCCACTTGGGGATGAGTGAAAATGTTCTATAACATAAAACGGCAGCGATATTTCTAAAGTGAACCAGATATATAGATAAACCATAGATTGGGCTTCAGGCTTGCACTTAATTTTAACCCCAATCCAAGAGCCATCAACTCTAATGACATGGCCTTCTTCATGCTCAACTTAGGAAGAGATTACTGATATAAGTGGTAAAGCAAAGTGTGAGGAAGAAAATAGATGGTGTTCGGCTATCAGAAAGAATAGCATCTGCTCCAGACCTCATCCCACATACAAAAACAAACTCAAGGTATATCAGAGACCTAAATGTAAAGCCCAAAGCTTTCCAGATCATCAATAAGAAAATTGGGACAAATCTAAGGACCCTACTGCAGGGCATACACGGGCTACCAGATAGAACAAAGGAAACACACACAATGGAAGACAAAATAGATGACTATGACCCATTAAAATAAAACACTTGTGTACATCAAAAGATTTCATCGAAAGAGTAAAATGAGAACTCACAGATTGGGAAAAGATATTTAGCAATGACATAATGGAGAAAGGAATGATTACTAAAATCTACAGAGCACTGCAGGACCACAACAAGAAAAACAAAACAAAAAAGATAACTCTTTTAAAAGGTGGGCAAAAGAGCTGCATAGAAAATTCACAAAAGAATTCACCTGAAAATTCACAAAAGAATTCACCTGAAAATTCACAAAAGAATTCACCTGAAAATTCACGAAAGAATTCACCATTCACCTGAATGGCTAATAGGCACATGAGGAAATGCTCTTTTTCACTAGCCATCTGGTAAAAGCACATCAAAACAATGACGAGAGGCCATCTAACACCTACAATCATAGCCCAATTTAAAAAATAACAAGCAGAGGACAACAAATGCTGGCGAGGGTGTGGAGAAATTAGAACTCTTATACACTGCTGGTGGTCTAGTAAATATACCCAACCATCGTGGACAGTCATATTAGGAGGAAGAATGAGGTGACCCATTTCTTGAAAATCATCCAGTGAGAGCATTATAAACTTCAGTGGAACATTGTTAGATATAGCACTGGAAGATATGCCCCTCAGCTTGGAAGACTCTCAAAAGATAACTAACTGCAGAAGGGCTGCCTCCTCCTTAATGACGGAGCAAAGCTTTTGAGACCTTCATTTGTGACATGACCCAAAATGAGAAGAAATAGCTGCAACCTCCACTAATAATTGGAATATGAAATTCACAGTATGAATCTAGGAACATTGAAAGTCGTCAAAATGAAATTGAATGCATAAAAATTAATATCCTGGGTATTTGTGAGCTGAAATTGGCTGGCTTTGGTGCTTTTCAATGAGACAGTGATATCATTTACTACGCTACGGATGACAAATTGAAGAGGAATGGCACTGCACTCATGGTCTGGAAGGACATTTCAAGATGAGTCCGGAAGTACAGTGCTGTACAGTGCTTACATTCACATGCGTACAAGGAAGACCAGTTATGCCCCAATGCCAAACTGATGAAGTTTAAGGTATTTTCCCACCTTCTGTAATCTGACATCGATCAAATATGCAATCAAGATGCGGTGATAATTACTTGTGATTGGAATGAGGAAGTTGGAACAATGAAAGAATGGAAGTTGGACTATATGACCTGGCTACACCAGAAATCACGTGATAGAATTTTGCAAGATCAACAACTTATTATGATAAATACCTTTTCAACCACTGTGACTTTATGCATGACCTTTGGTGTATGACAAACACAGGAATCAAATCAACCACGTGTATGGAAAAGATGATGGAGAAGGTCAATATCATCATTAGCATAAGACTAGGAGTCAACTGCAAATGGGAGATGAAAACAATTAAAACGCGTCTATGAGGGATTTGGTGACCATCTCAGGGATGGATTTGATGCATTGAACACTAATGATTGAAGATCAGATGAGTTCTGGAATGATATCAAAGACATACACGAAAAAGTCATTAAAAAGACAGGAAATAAAGAAAAGACCAAATGGATATCACGAAGACTGAAACTTTCTCTTAAATGTGGGAAAGCTAAAGTGAGTAGAAGAAATAATTAAGCACAACACTTTAATAAGCAGACCCATAGCAATGCTATAGGACAGGATAGATCTGCTTCTATCCTGTCCTATAGGACTGTGGCTGTTTTCGAACTGCTAAACTTGCAGTTAGCTGCCCGGCGTGTAATTCACTATGCCACAGTGGCATAGGGGCTCATGAATAGATAGAGGACCATGTTAAAGCAGAGAAGCTGTATCTTCTCATTCTTCCAATGTGGCATCTGGTAGAAGACTACAATGATAGGGAGCTGCCATTTAGAAGCTTGAGGGAAGAACCTTCCAGGCAGAACCAAAAGCAAGTTTATAGGCCCTGAGGCAGCAATAGGCTTTTGAGGGTCCCAACGGAGACATTGGAGGCTTTCTACTCCCACAAAGAGTACTACTTTACCCCGTGTTCATGGTCACCATGCAGCAGAATAAACTCCAAAGCCGTGCGTTTGTTTTGTTTGTTTGTTTCATGGAGAAAAGAAAACCAGCATTGCAAGGGCAAGAGTCAGGTCAAGCTGTGCCGTAGAATTTTGTTTTATTCCAAACGCGATGGGAAACAAGCTGTGTTTTAAATCGGGAGATACAGAATTCCATGTATATATCAACACAGTCACTGTGGCACCGTGTGAACAGAGATTAGAAGGGGGTGGTGAGTCAGGAGGTATAGGTCAGACTGTCACATCAGTCTGGGTGAGAGATGGCGGTTTCTAGGATGACAAGGCAGTAGCAGTAGAGATGGAAAGATTCAGGATCGACCAGTATTTTGGAAGTACTGGGTAGGATTGCTGGTAGATAGAATGTGAATGGTGAGGATGTGGAAGAATCAAAGGTGACTTCCCTGAGGTGACAGCGGTGGGAGGCAGGCGGTGGGGGGAGTGACCGGCTTCTAGGAGAGATGGTAGTGTGCTAGTCTGAAGTAAAGCTGGACAGGTCACTTTTAAGCTCCTTGGGATTGTTTCTCAAGCTCTAAAAATCGAATTGCAAGACTCTCTTGGGTTCAGGGTTTATGACAAGACATGTGAACCTTAACTTAGAACAACCTTTGAAGCAAGGTTAGTAAGATAGTTTTTCGTATGCTTCAGACACAGCGTCAGCAGGGACTGGTCCTCAGGGAAGGACATCATGTTGGGGAAAGTGGAGGGCCAGCACAAAGGAGAAAGGCCCTCAACAATATGGATTGACACAGGAGCTGCAACAATGGGCTCAAATGGCGATGGCTGTGGATGGTACAAGACCAGGAAGTGTCCCAGTCTGTTGTCCATGGGGCCACTATGAATTGAAACTGATTCAGTGAAGTGACACCTAACAACAACAACAACAACAACAGATTTTACATTTGAGGGGAGTGCCTTGCCCCCTTTATCTTATTCCAGACTGTTCTCCATCAGCCTTCCCGTCCCATCCCTACAGACAAGCAAGGCATATGGCTTCACTGACCATCACAACTTTTACTGTCATGAGCAATTCACAGACTCAAAATTCTCATGAGTTTCTACACTCTTCATTCCCTGAGTGGCACAAATAGTTAACATGATCAGCTATGCACTGGAAGGTTGGGAGTTTGATTCCACCCAGAGGCCCTTAGGAAGAAAGACCTGAAGATCTGCTTTTGAAATATTAGCCATTGGTGGCTTTATCAAGAAAAGAACCACTCTGACACACATGGGGTCACCATGTGGGCTTGTTGGCGACAATGTTGGTCATATTCCTAAGGCCACCTGTTTCCCAACTCATTTTTCTCTTGTGTATATTTGACCCAAAAAGTGAATAAACCTTGGCTCTTTACAGCTAAAAACTTAAAAACAGCTAAAAATCAGAGAAAGCCCAGATAAAAATATTTACAATGACTTCCTGTGCTCTTGATTTTTTTTTTTAAGCTCCATCAACATGAGAGGTGGCTGGCTTCTCGCGGAGCCATCACATTACCAAAACCCACGGGAGGAAGGTTCATAAGTCTGTCTTCCAGAGAATTCTTTGACAGCATGGCTCTACGTTTGCACCGGCCAAGAGGGTCTTATTATTTTTCCCTCACAACACCTAAAATGAATGCCTGCTGCATCACACAAGTGTGGCCCACTCTGGATGGGGAGGAGTCCTATGGGTAGAGAGCCTATCTCTTGGCAGTAGTCATTCTTACCGGGTGTTTGATTTGGAGAGCTGCCCTGAACTCACCTCAGGGAGCAGAAGGAGGTATCTCGTGGCTGAGTCACTGAGGAAGATATGGACTGATTCCACCTGAGAGGAGAAAAGGAAACTTCCTGCAGGTAGTACTTCTGCTCTTAGGGACACACTGGTGAGGAGCTGGGTTGGAGGGTTGAAGAAAGTGAAGTGCACAGACACAGCTTTGGTGTCTTTCCCGATCCATTGCTTGGCCCTGAGATTGATCAGGGCTGTGTGGACTTCAGACCTGCCAGTCAACGGGGGTATGGAAAAGCTTTGAAGTCCACAAAACATCCACCCAGCAGGCCCCGCCACATTGGAATGTCCCAGTCAAGTCTTAAGGAAAACAACCTCTGAGCTTCAAAGAACTACACAGATGGGCCATTCTGCATTTGTGGAGTTCACTCAATAGCCCTTTGTCCCCCTTTCTCCACCCTACCCTCTTGCCTTCAGTGGCCAGGGTGAACATGCAGGCAGGGGGCTGCAGAGCAGAGGGTTTCCACTACCAGAATTTCAGCACCAAGGCCCCCACAAGATTCAGTTATCTTTCTCTGCAATTACCTCATTATTTAAAGAAATCTTTTAAACAACCTACATTTAGTACCAATTGGATTATTTCCTTTTCTTTCCTTAATATATAATTCTTCAACAACATACATTACTCTAAACATCCAGCAGGGTCACCACATGGTATTAGTTTAAGCCTGACAGCAAGTGAAGGAGCATGCCGTCCTCAGAGCCTACGAGGCAAGACATAGGCTACCACAGGCTTGTTGCTTCAAAGCCTGGCTCCACGTGGGTAATGGTTCAGTCTCTCTAAGGCTCAGTTCCTTCCTCCACACGATGCCATTCAGAAGTAATACTAGCATTAAGTGAAGCATCGTGTCCATGATCACAGACTGTCAAGAACAAATTAAGCATTTTTGGAAACAAGTTCTGCTTTATTCTTTCATAAGGACTTAAGAGTCTGAAGACCTGAGTCTGAATTCTGCTTTAGTTGCACACAAGCTGGTGATCTTGAGCAAGTTACTTTTCTACGATCCAACAATAATCATATCTTGCCCTAACCCTCTGGTTCTTTCCATTACTGGGGACCGACATGCCTGCCCCTGAGGCTTCCTGAGAAGGT